GTCCAAACAGCTGATAAAAACATCACAGTAATCCACAGCACTCCAGTCCATCAGTTAATGTCTTGTGAAGCAAAAAGCTGCGTGTTTATAAGAAACAAATCCATCATTAAGGCGTTTTAACTTTATACTTTTGCTTCTGGCCAAAATATGAGTCCATAATTCATAATAACCATTCCTCTAGTGAAAAAGTTCATCCCCTGACTTTAGCTGGAAGCAACAATTTTGAGGTCAAAACATTTTAATGATGGATTTGTTTCTTACAAACACACAGCTTTTTACTTCACAAGACGTTAATTGATGGACTGGAGTCGTGTGGATTATTGTGATGTTTTTATCAGCTGTTTGGACTCTCATTCTGACGGCACCCATTCACTACAGAGGATCCATTGGTGAGCAAGTTATGCAATGCTAAATTTCTCCATATCTGTTCTGTTTGTCTGAAGAAACAAACGCATCTACATTTTGGGTGACCTGAGAGCGAGTAAACGTTCAGCAAGTTTTTATTTTTGGGTGAACTACTCCTTGAAGCCTTATGTAAATGAACAGGGTGAGCTCACCTGTGGACGGGTGCGATGATGGCGCAGCTGACGGACTCCAGCCTCCGTTGGAGTCTTCCGAATCTAAGCAATCAAAACTGGGTCTGGACACAGGCATCCGTTTCTGGCGTGGCTGAGATTGGGCCTTGTTTACTCTGCAGAGCACATACACAAACATGAACACAAATGCATGCAAACACATACAGGCTGCACACAGCTAAACAATCTATCAGGAGAAAGAGGCTGAAAATATTTAACCAAAAAATGTTGTATATTATATATAGAACACTTGAGGTATAGTGCAGAGGCCATATGGACTTCTTTAATAATGTTGTTGCAATGCGTTTGCATTCTATTTGTAGCTTGAAAGCTTTAGTCCCCGTTCAATGTAACTGCATAGAAAAAAAATGACCATGAACATGAATCAAAATTTCTCCTTTGTTTTCCAGAGAAGAATGTCACATGGGTTTGGAATGACATGACGAATATTTATTTATGTGATGAAGACACAGAAAGATACAACAGATCTTCATCTCTAACCTTTCTCTCATTCTCTGTGCCAGCTCCTCCAGGACCTCCACAGACTGTCTGTGAAATTGCAGCTGTGATTCGACCAAAGCTGTGAGCTGACTCACCTGCTCCACCTACACACACACACACACACACACACACACACACACACACACACACAGACAGAAAATCAAAAGATGTTATTGCCTTAGAATAATGAGCTATATCTGTAAGCTTCCTCTTCTATGCTTCACTGATTTTGCATTTCTATTTCTGTTACTTCACGAGGGCTTCAACTTTCAGGAAACCCATCTCAATAACCAAATGTATTTTTCCTACAGCATTGGTAAACAATCTTGTTTTTAGCATAAACCTCACTAAATTGTTATTTATGAAATGACAAACGGGACACTCTACGCACTTGTGGCTTTGCAACAAGGTTATTATAGAAATTAAAACTAAAACTAAACTAGATTCAAGTTGTTACTTGAAATAAAAATGTTAACTGAAATATATATATTTTTAATTCAGCTAGCTGCCAAGTCAACGTTTTATTTGACTAAATAACAAAAAATTTAAATGAAATAAATTAATAGAAACTATATAGACATTGTATCAAAAAAAACAAAAGCTATTAAAAATGACAAAATTACTAAAACTTTAAAATGATAATGGAAAAATAAAAACTAATTCAAAATAATAATAAAAGCTACAATGATATTAAAACAGCACTGCTTTCCACAGCATAAACATCACAACACAATGTTAAAACTAACATTGCATCAATAAATTAAAACTACAGCTTAACCCTTTGAGGAGCCACACTGAAGAGTTTAAAGTACAGCTGTATGCAAAGATGTTCAAATATGCTCCTGAAAACAGCTGGAAGGAGCTTTACATTCAAATCATAACACTGAGTTTTATAAAATAAATTCTTTTTAATAAATAATCCACATGATGTATGACTCTTTTGTCGCTTCTTGGACAATGAACATTTCTATGTTGACCCAAAAGAGTCATACGTCAGTTTAAATGTCATACATCATGCGCATTTGTTAAGATGCAATATGCAAAATACAATAAATATTATAATATTCATGAAAATTCACGGTACAGTCTTTCCATGTTACTTTGATATATACCACTGAACTGATCGACTATTACTGTATACATGGCAAATAGAGGAACTTTTTGTTAGTGTGCATTAATGACCATGTTTAATTACAGGCCTGTGTTTAAGACCAACGTAGCAAATAATCAGAAACATCCCGAAGTTTTCAGAGTCTCTGGCCTGCAGTCCAGTGTCGATAAAACAGACTGATAAATGTGTTGGCTCAGCAGACAGTCTGGAAAATATCCAGCACTCACTGATGTGGATCACTGTAGCAACAGAACAATTATATGACTCTCCCTGGTCCCGGACGATAAAAACTTTCCAATAGGGGGTCATTTAATTAGAATTTTAGTGCTGTTCGCTCAGGCAAGCATCACTGTTACTATTACTCATTACTTTAAGCAAACTGAAAGAATCCAAGCAACCAATAGTAGAATTTATTGTATTTTGTATTGTATTTTGATATTTTCAAGGTTTGTAACGCTTTCCAAAATGAAAAGACAAAGTTTCAAATCGTAGTTTGCATATGGCTTTTAAAACACATCTGCACCTCGACATTTTCATTGCTGTTTTGACAGGCGCTTTTTACAAAAGCGATTTGTGACAAAGTCCGATTGCCATTAAAAAACAGCTAATAATAAACCACATCCTCAGTGTTAAGAATGCCACCAAAGCTCGAGATCCATATATACCTTTCAGCATTTTAAAAAGGAGGTGCTCAGAGACGGACTCCAACAGGCAGAATTGAGCTTACGTCAGTATCCAGAAGGTTCTGCATGCTGGTTTCAGCCACTTCTTTGGACTCTTCGAACTTCTCTGCTGCTTGCCTGAGCTCCTCATTCGGAATCTTCCCCTGACGCTTCTTCTTGTAGTCGTAATCCAGTCGACGGCCCTCCAGTTTCTTCAGATAGTGCTGAGGACGAATCAAGAGCATATTATTATTATTATTAACAGCCCATGATTACATTATGAAACAAATGCTCATACATTTAGCCCACGACTCATACATATTTAATGAATAAACTTTGATTTGATTTTAGAGTGCAATTGATTGCAGTTTTCCACCTGTATGTCTTTCAGCTCCTTGTCGACTATAGTTTGGAAAGGGTCGATGAAGTTCTGTTTGACGTCAATGTCTAGAGAGTCTTTTACTTCTGCCAGTCTCTTCATGGCCTCTCCCATCTCCACTAAAGCGCCACCTATGGATCCGACGAGGAACATGCACAAAAATGTTATGTTAAAAACAAATAAAAAGATACTAGAATATCTGTATTAAACAAAGAGAAATATAATAGTCTTAAAGAACAGTCCTCTCACCAAAGTTGGTGTCCTCTCCCATGTCTCGGCCGTATTTGAGCATACACTCTCCCAGAAGGCCTTCTGCCTGAGGGTAACCTGGGCTCATCACCTGCCCCCGCATTTTAGACATGGTGTTCACCATGGTCAGCCTTGCTCTTGATGCTGCAGTACAAGACAAACAGACGGACAGATGAATAAACAGAAATATACACTGCAAAAAAATCATATTTTCGTCTTGTTTTCCAGCACAAATCTCTAAACATACTTAAATCAAGATACATCTACTTATTAAACAAAATGACTAAGATATTAAGTATAAGTGTTCATTATTTAAATAAATAAAAAATGCACGCTATTCAAGATGTAGATAAGTTTGTTTGTTCATCAGAACAGAGTTTGAGAAATTTAGCATTACACTACTTATACACCAGTGGATCTTCTGGAGCGAATGGGTGCCGTCAGAATGAGAGTCCAAACAGCTGATAAAAACATCACAATAATCCACAAGTAATTCACACCACTCCAGTCCATCAATTAACATGCTGTGAAGTGAAAAGCTGCAAGGAACAAACCCATCATGTTGTTTTTATTTTTCACTGTCGCTTCTGGCAAAAATACGAGTCCATAATCTGTAAAAACGCTTCATCCAGTGAAAAAGTCCATCCCCTGTTTTCCTCTCACACCAAAACCCATCAACATACAGTATTTGTTTAGAACTGCTGAGACTTTTCCCGTTTGAAAATGGTGCTTGATTTGTGCATATTTCTCTCCTGATTCAGATGAGATGACCTGTTCACTGGAGAAAGCAATATGGATAGAATACGATTTTGGTTAAATAAATAAAAAAAGCACGCTATTCAAGATGTAGATAAGTTTGTTTGTTCATCAGAACAGAGTTTGAGAAATACACCAGTGGATCTTCTGGAGCGAATGGGTGCCGTCAGAATGAGAGTCCAAACAGCTGATAAAAACATCACAATAATCCACAAGTAATTCACACCACTCCAGTCCATCAATTAACATGCTGTGAAGTGAAAAGCTGCAAGGAACAAACCCATCATGTTGTTTTTATTTTTCACTGTCGCTTCTGGCAAAAATACGAGTCCATAATCTGTAAAAACGCTTCATCCAGTGAAAAAGTCCATCCCCTGTTTTCCTCTCACACCAAAACCCATCAACATACAGTATTTGTTTAGAACTGCTGAGACTTTTCCCGTTTGAAAATGGTGCTTGATTTGTGCATATTTCTCTCCTGATTCAGATGAGATGACCTGTTCACTGGAGAAAGCAATATGGATAGAATACGATTTTGGCGGAAACAACGGTTCGAAGTTAAAAATTATGGATTTGTTTCTTACAAACACACAGCATTTCGCTTCACAATATGTTAACTAATGGACTGGAGTGGTGTGGCTTACTGTAATGTTTTTATCAGCTGTTTGGACTCTCATTCTGACGGCACCCATTCACTCCAGAGGATCCACTGGTGAGCAAGTGCTGTAATGCTAAATTTTTTTCCCCCAGTGTAAAAACAATTATTATAAACTGTATCTTGTATATGACTTTAAATTCAGCACATGGGGAATATTTAGTCCATGTTTTCACCTGGGTTAGGCTGCAGGTATTCAGTAGTTTTGCAGAGCACATCTGATATGGCTTTACTGGTGACGTCAGCCTTCTGTGAAGCACAAATGTCAGAGAACAGTTGTGTCTCTTTACATCACACTGTCAACAGACGCGGCTCACTAATCACTCATCTACAGCTCTCACTGACAAAGAAGTGATACAGACCTGAAACAATCAGCACCGGTCACACCTACAAAAACAACAGCCATTCGAGAAGCGGACTGATACCAAGTTAAAGGAATATTCCAGGCTGTTTACAACATAAGCTCAAAAGACCGTGGCTTGCTGTGGTTTACCACAGAAAATAATGCAAATAATGCATTTAAACCAGAAATGTAAAGCTTGTATTAATGCTAAAGCTCTTAACAGGAATTAAGCAGTAGAAATGTGAGTTATGAGCTCTGAAGTTGTTTGAGAAGTCATTTTGAGGTGGGGCTACTTCTCTAGGTGGAGGAACTTCCGGTTATGCATAGGCTAACTGACGCACTTTGGGTGGAAGTGGTATTAACCACAAAAGACTTGTGATTTTGCAGGATAAAATGGGTAATAATGGGCTTTTAAAGGGTTAGTTCACCCCAAAATTAAAATTAGCCCACAAATTACTCACGCTCAAGTCATCCTAGGTGTATATGACTTTCTTCTTTCAGACGAATCCAGTCGGAGTTATATTAAAAATCGTCTTTGATCTTTCAAGCTGTTTCTTGGCACTCAGCGGGTGTTGCATGCATCAGTCCAAAATAAGTTAAATAAAAAGCACCCATCCATTAAAAAAAAAAAAAAGTGTCTTGCACGGCTCCGGGGGGTGAACAAAGGCCTCCTGTAGCGAATCGATGCGTTTTTGTAAGAAAAATATCCATATTCAAAACTTAATAATCACTTTAATGTAGCTTGCGCCAACAGTCCTACACGGAAGCAGCTCCGGGCGGATGACGTATGAGGTCGGCGTTGCGCATGCGCCGCTCAGTAGTGATGCACGCGGAAGCGCAGGGGAGAGATCAATACAAAACAACGGTCACTAATTAGAAGTACAAAACGAGGATTTGTAAAGAATGTCGGAGGATTTCGATATAAGCCAAGAGGAGACTGGTTTTCCTTTGCCAAAAGACGGAAACTTTGCTTCCTTTGCTCCTGTTAACAAACGTTGGTTTTCACAAGACTCACCAGCGCATGCGCAGCGCTGAACTCATACGTCATCCGCCCGGAGCTGCTTCCATGTACAACTGTTGCCGCAAGTAATTATTACGTTTTGAATATGGATATTTTTCTTACAAAAAATGCATCGATTCGCTACAGAAGGCCTTTGTTCACCCCCTCCGGAGCCGTGTGAGACATTTTTTATGGATGGGCGCTTTTTATTGAACTTCTTTTGGACTGATGCATGCAACACCTGCTGAGTGGCATTAAACCGCTTGAAAGATTAAAGACAATTTTTAATATAACTCTGACTGGATTTGTCTGAAAGAAGAAAGTCATATACACCTAGGATGACTTGAGGGTGAGTAATTTGTGGGTTAATTTTCATTTTTGGGTGAACTAACCCTTTAACATTATATTTTAAAGACACCATCACAAAACATAAACAAAACAGCAAATTATAAAGCCTTTGTTTATCATTTATTACAAAAAATTATCTGAACATGAATAAATTTTGTAACTGCATTTCAGTTTGTGCTAAGTGGAAGTGGAAATAGTTAATATCCTATACAATTATTTGCTAGTTAATTTTTTTGGCCAGTCATTCACAGCTTTGTGTTTGTGTAGAGGACGTTTTTAGTTAATTTTACTGTTTTTCTTACAAGAACAGTATTTCTTACAAGAACTTCCTAAAAGTAGGAAGAAGGAAGTCTTGGTTGTATTTAGGAGAACTTGAATATTGGCATCGCAATGTGAATGTTAAAAATGTGTTACCCTCTCAAGGTCTTTGAAGTCCTCATCCAGTTTGGTTCCTTCTGCGCCTCCCACCTTCTCACTCATCAACTGAAACACACACATGTCGGGACTTCTATCAGTACAAGGACTTTCAATAGGCATAATGTTTTTTTTTTTTTAGCTTATGCTATTTTCTATCCCCCTAACCCTTACAGAAAACATTCAGCAAAACTTTCTTTTAGTATTAAGCTAATAAGAGCTATCATCCTTCAGGAAACATGCATGCACACATTTATTGAGTTTGCATGATAAAATGCAAGAAACATTCATTGGTTTGCAAATGGAAAGTTGAAGAGACAGGCACCAGCTTTCATCATCTCTCATGTTGAAGCCTCAGACTTTCATCTAATTACCTGCTGCACTTTCAGTTCACATTAAAGAGCGAGCGGGAAAAAGCAACAGTGTTTGGCATGTAAAGAACTTAAAATATGTTTTAATTTGTTGACTTTTGTGAGCGTTCACATAAGAAGCTGTAAAATTTTACTTTAATTTGAGTTAATTTTGTTGTGTTATTATCATTAGTTTGTTAATAGTATTTTTAAGCAGTTTTAGTTTATTTACAGTTATTTTAGTACTTCAAATTAAAGGGGTTATATGATGTGATTTCAATTTTTCCTTTCTCTTTGGAGTGTTACAAGCTCTTGGTGCATAAAGAAGATCTGTAAAGTTTCAAAGACTAAAGTCTCAAATCCAAAGAGATATTCTTTATAAAAGTTAAGAGTCACCCACGCCCATCTAAAACGGCTCGTTCTAACACGCCCCCACATGTCTATGTCACTGTGTGGGAAGATTTGCATAACACCGCCCAAATGTTCACGCAAAGAAAGAAGGCGTAACTTTTATTCTCGCTGTAGTATTGTTGTTGCTGCCGTCATGTCGTAAAGACGCTGTTTCGTTGTGAAAGCGAAACTACTTTGTTTGGCCTTCTAAAAGAGGACAATGTTCTGACTCACAGACTGCAAGTATGTTTTTTTATACTTAAAGAATTTGCCACTGATGATTCAAATGCAAGTTTTGAGCAGTGTAGAGTAGGGGTTGCACCGACTACTCGACTTCAATGCTCTGCCATGACGCTTTAAGCTTGACGTCGACTAGTCGCTGGTCCTATAGAGGGCGCAACAGGATAAGAAATCTTTGAAGGACTTCCACATTTACGCTCCGTTTCCAAACAGTTCAAATGACAAATAAATGCATACTCTGAAAGCGCTCCACAAGACATGTGTGATTATATTACTGGATGCTCGAAATTGAACGGGAGAATGCACGTTTTAAACAGCTTATTGTACAGGTAAGTTAATCGCCGTTCTAATCTAATGCGCTGCTGCACTGTAACGCACAACCATAGGCTACAGACAGTAGCGCGTACATCACGCGCACAGAATCATTCAGCGCGG